GCACCAATTACCTTTTCTACTCTTGATCAGATTCAACAGCTCCTTCCAGAGTTCTCTTTTTCCTTCCAACTGACATGAAGAGTAAATATTGAGAATGTAGACAGGCACCCGGTTCTCCCCCCATTCCCCAGAAACTCCTATGAAATTTTTTTCCTTCAATCACCTCTGTCATTTTTAGCACATTCCGACTCCATATACACAATAAGCCTCCAGACATACCCTCTGATGGTTTAAAAATCCATTCAAACTCATCGGTTCCCCATATCCTTCTACATACACTTCTGTTAACTTCCTCCATCTTTGTCTCCTGTATTGCTAAAAATTCTACTCCCTCTTTTTTTACCATTTCTCTAATTTTTCTTTTTTTCCCCAACCCTCCAAGCCCTCTGATATTAAAGGACATCAGTATCATCACAAAAATTGCTTACCTTCTTTGCATCCTCCGCCGTTCGCTTCTCTACGTTTTCTTTGCTTCGTTTGTCTCTACCCTCCATTTCATTAATTTTTTGCAATATCTCCTCATCATTCTCCGCTGTGGCGCCCAACCTTTTGGCTAAGTCCCATATGTCCTTCGCTAGCTGGGTTTGCAATTGCTTTCTCAAAGCTCGATTGCAGTTCTGGATCCCACTGTCTCCAATCGAATCTCCTGCAATTTCACCATTTGGGCTTGCTATGAACTTCGGCTTTGCCCTCCCCTCCTTTGATTTCATATTTTGCCTCCCTCGGTTTTTTCTCCTCTGCATTCCTTCTTCTACAGATCTGGCCTTGATGTATACCGAACTGCAGAGGCGGATTTTCTTCTTCCTTTGCTGCGGGAAGCCTTCTTTGCACCACTTCGTCCTCTTCATCTGGTTTTCTTTACTTGCTTTGCCCTGCCCACCGAGATCTTCCTTTTCCTCTTCGCTACCTCTCGTTGCAGAGCCCTTGTTTCTCGAAATTTTTGATTTGTTTACAGAAATTGACTTTGCTCCCTCGATTTGATATGATCTGCACATGCCCGGCCCCATGCTTGATGAGCTCGCCTGGATTGGGCTGTTCTCATAATGTGTGGGCTGCCTTCTTTGGCCCAAATTTATTTTCTTTTTAAAGCCCGGCCTCTTTTTCCTTTCTTCATTTGAACTCCTCGACCTTTCCTCATTCCCCGCCTCCTGTGTTGCTCTCCCCTCTGTTTTTTTGTCCAGATTACCGTTTGAAATTTGAAAACACTCCAGGCTGTCCGCAACTTTCTCCACTGTCTCCTCCTCATCCTGCACGTGTGATTGAGACTTATCACCTACCTCTCCTCTTCTACCTTCCACGTCATCATCTTCAAGCTCGGGTTCCTTCGGTCTGCCGATCCCCTGTTCTTTCTCCATTGCTTTTTCCCAGACATAATCCTCGGACTCACTCTCCAATGACCATGATTCATGTTCCTCCGATTCGCTTTGAAAATGAGGAATAAAATCCTGTTTTAAAGAGAAGAAACTATTTGTGAATTCCTCCTCCGAGAACTTGATTTTGTACATGGACCCATTGATTTTGATTTCTCTCAACACTGAGATTGTATTCATGATTGGAGTTGAAATAAGGAATCTAGCTATGTCAAACCTCCTTCTTTGGCTTGTGCTATCATCCACACAAATGAACTTACCCCATGACCGCCCCATGGATGCAAAAAAGTCATGGCCCCAAACGTCCAATGGCACTCCTTGGCATCTAATCCAAACGAATCTTTCTTTCGCTATCAACTCTGGAGACCAGGGACACACCTTTTCGAACCACTGACCCAGCCATTCTGATGCCGATTCTACCAAGTGTTTCAACTCTTCTCTATCTTCACAATCCATCAGCACCAATCTTCCTCCCATTGCACGAACTCTGCAGGTAAAATATCCTTCCATATAAAATTTTTCCTGCAAGTTTCTAACCATTTCTACAGAGTGAGTCGTTCCCACATAACAACCCTCCAGCCATGAGGATTCTTCTTTGTTGGAGTTGTACTCTAAACCAGCCCAGGTATCCTTCCTTCCTTTCTCTACCCATACCTTCTTTTTGTCCCTTATCTGATCTTCTGAACTGGTGATTTTTCTGTCCTGCTCTTTATCCATAGCATAACCGTCCCTGCTCCAACCTCCTTCCCCTTTTCCATGTCTACTTGTTTGCTGTCCCTTCACCACTTCTGCGTAGGTTCTGCTCTGCGCTTGTGGCTCCACAGCGTGGCTTATTTTAAATTCCCTACCCTTCTGCTGGATGTCATTATACCTTGGGTAGTTTACCCATAATTTGTGATCCCCAATCCAGATGTTGTCCAGCTTTCTTTCTAGCTCTTTTCTGTCGTTCACCCCCAAGAATCTTACAAATCCGAATCTACTACCGTTTCTGCTTCTTCTAGGGGGGCTGTAGATGTCGAAAACCCTCCCAAACTTCATAAAGGTCCTCCACATGTCTTCTTGTGTCCACTCTTCTGGGAAATTAGTGAAGAAATAGGGCGTTGCTTGTTTATACAAGCCCCAATCATATGAGTCCCCAAGCCTCCTTCTTCGCAGCTGGTTCTGATCAATCTGATATTCATTCTTTCCATCTGTTGTCGTCCTTCTCTGTTTATCTCTCCATGGAGATCTGCCATGCTCTCTGCTCTGAGTCGTCCTCCTTTCCCGTGTTCTAAGTTCACCTCTTCTTTCTCTCTCTCTACCTCTCTCTCTCATCCTGCAAATATTTTTTAATAGGATCTATTCTTATATGTATTAATATCTTCTTCTTCTTTTTTTTCGAAAGGCAAAGATTGTTTTTTAATA